ACCCCCCAGCCAGCCCCTCGCAGGACGGAGATCACCATCGTCAAGCCTCAGGAGGCAGCCCACCGCAGGGTGGAGCCCCCCGCCACCAAGGTCCCCGAGGTGCCCGCCGCCCCCGCTGCAGATGCAGTCCCCAAGAGGGTGGAGATCCAGGTGCCCAAGCCGGCCGAGGCACCTACGTCGCCCAGCCCAGCCCAGCCCCTGGAGAATCCCGAGCCCTCCTCGATGTCGCAGCTGCACAGCAGGCTGGAGCCCAGGGCCCAGCCCCTCACCGCTGAGGCCCTGCCCAGAGGCCAGGAGGGTGAGTGGCAAAGCCTGGGTCTCCCGTGCTGCGGGTGCCGGGCGTGGGCGCTGGCTCTGCGTGTGGGAAGAGTGGGGAGAGGGGGTACTTCCATAGACCGGGTACACAGGGCGGTATTCGGAGCTCAGGGAGCTGTCTGTACTCTGTCCACTGGGGACACACCAAGATCAGCAGGTAGGACTTGATGAGACTTTGGGGAGAATCTCTGAGCTGCGAGGAGCCCCATATTGGCCAGCACAGGCTGCGCTAGGCCCTTTGCCATGTGACTCCGGACATGGGGCCAGGAGGCTGAGTGACAGCAGGCCCATGGGGAGTATGGCGGGCACCGGCTGGGATGCACTCCTCTTTTGATGGCTGTTGGCCTGACAGCTGGGCCTGTGGGAGGCAGAGTCCAGCTCTGCAGGACTGCTGAGGGCCCCAGGGCAGAGGAAGGAGGGACTCTGCCCTCTCAGGGTCACCTTGAGGGTCTTACTCCTCCTCCTCCCCAGGGAGGGGTGGTTGTGGCCAGGGACAGGAGAACATGAGTGCCTCTGCCTCTGCTTCTCAGGGCCACTGGGGAGATGTCCTTGGGGACAGCTGCACACGGCTTCACATGGCGGGGTGCTCTTGGGGGAGGGGAGGGAGGAAGGGGCGCTTCCCGTGTCCTGGGAGGGCTCAGACCTCAGAGGAGAGCTTACAGGGAAGATGGGCCAGTCCCCTGTAGGAATGCCAGGGCTGGGGTATGCGGGGGGTCCTGGTGGGGCCTTGGTTCACGGGCCGTGTTAAGGTGCCAGCAGATCCAGTTCTGGGTCCAGGACTTGCCATCCAGTTAATGTTCAAGGGGTTCCCTGAGTTGGACACAGAACGTCTAAGTTTTCGCGATCTTTCCTTTTTCCTTTCTCCATGGCTGAGTTCATGGCATAGAAGAGAGGGAAGCACCCTCCACAGGGTATGGTCACGCGTGACCCCTTCCTCCAGCCCTCCAGCCCCCCGTATCCTGGGCACCCGCCTCTGTCCCTGGGGGCCGGGGATCTGAACAGCCCGGCGGGCCCCAGCCTCTCTGGGCAGTGCGTTACCGCTAGCCCCGGCGCCGGCCCATTCTGAGCGTAACCACTGTTGTTTTCATGGTCACGAATACGCAGAACGAAGGCTGCCTCTGCCGTCTGGCCGTTTCCAAGTGCACGGCCCAGTGGCTGTAAGTCCTTCGCCTGTGTAGCGGCCACCACCACCATCTCTGGGACTCTTCCTCTTGGAACACTGCAGCTGTCCCGTTAAGCACCTCCCGCCCCCGCCCCTGCCCCGCAGCCGCCATTGTACTCTGCTCTGGGAGCCTCCCGGGAACGAACCCAGCGGTGCTTATCCCTCTGGGTCGGCTCTTAGACTCGGCGCAGCGTTCTTCAGGGCCTTATTGTGACCTGTGTCATTTCCCCTGCCGGGCTGGCCGGTACTCTGCCACACGGATAATAGCGTGTCGTCCCCCGACGGCCACTTGGCCGCTTGCACCTTTCCACCGTGGCAGGAGCTCGTGGTCACGTCTGTCGAGTACCCGCCCTCAGTTCGATGGCCTCTTTAGATGAATATCCCAGGGGTCGGTGGACTGGGGCTGGAGGGGTGGGTGCCCTCGCATGCCCACCTCCGTCCTGCCCGGGTGCTCCTACGACCCAGCGGTCTCAGGACTCTTGGTCCTTTGAAGGTCCCGCTCTGCCCTGGGTGATGTCGCTCCCCTCTCAACTCGACCCTCAGAGCCACCTAGGGGCTGCAGGCGGCAGGGTGCGGGACAAAGGCCTGGGCGGTTCTAGCAGAGTGGACAGAGGCTGTTTCCCCCTCTGCTCCCGCCTCCTGCCGCCCCAGGATGTTTGAGGATGTTCGACGTGCCCCTCCTGGGACGAGGTGTCGCGCTGTGCTGAGTCAGACAGCATGTGGTTTGGAGATGTTTGCCACTGGGTTGTCAGATCTTGACAACCCGTGCCAGGTGCACCAGGGGGACGGGCGAGGGATGTCCGCCCAGGGTGGCACCTCCTTGGTGACGCACGAGAACATCTTCCTACTGTGGCAGATGCAGCTCACTCCCACCTCGCGTGAGACCGTGCTGGGACAGGGACATCTTGTGGGCCGTGCCCCTGGGAGCTTGCTGAGCCAGGCTGAGCAGGACGGGGATGAGCCAGGCAGGAGTGCCGGGGGCGTCCCAGGTGTCCATGCCACGGGCTCAGCTTTGAAGAGGGTAGGACTTAGCCAAGCAGAACAGAAGACGAAGGCTTCCCCACACAGGCAGCGGCTGGCCCGAGCTGGGGCTGAAACACTGAATGATGGAGCCAGGCGAGAGCAGACCTGAACGCCGACCCCACTGCCCGGGAGGAGGGCTGCTCCCGAAATCCAGCTGGAGGCCTGAGCTTCCACCAGCCCCAGCGAGGCCCCTCTTGCCGTTCCGTCCTCCTCTCTTCTGGTCATGGCCTGCCCAGGGCCTCTGGACACAGCCCTGGCTCTCTTCCCCTCACTTCCTGCCTGTCTTCCCTGCAGACCGGCACGCCCATCCTCTTCCTCCAGCCGTGGACGTGCCCAGAACCCACGCAGGCCCTGCTCTGACCGCGCCCCCTGGCCGCCCTGCCCCTTGCACCTGAGGTCCAGCCAGCATTGCAGTAGGGAAGGGCCGGGCAGGGACAGCTGGGGGCCCGCTGACCAGACGCTCAGTCTCTCTTTGTCCACCCCCAGGAAAGCATCTGTGTTGTGGCTGGTCTCCACCCAGGGCCATGGCATAGGACAGGCTCTCCTGGGGCCTCGGCGACCCCCTGGGCCCAGCATTGATGGGTGCACTCCCACCCTGCACCTCCCCTGGCCCACTCCCCGGGTCCTCCGTGGTCCTCGCTGTCCTGCTCAGCGCCCCACACCCTTCCTCACCACTCCCACGTCCTGACCTCTGCCTGTCATCACATCACTGCTGTCTGTGGAACTCCTACACACCCCTCCACGCCCCGCTCAGAGGGCTCCTCGGAGGAAACCGTCCACCAGCCGGGAGGAGCCCCGCTTCCTCTCATGCTGCCCTTTTGCCTCTTTCTCACGTGAGATGCCTTGCGTTAGCTGGAGATGTGAATTAATTTCTGTAAGGGCCTTCCTTCTTCTGCTGGGGAAGTAATTTCAGGTTGTAAAAACAAACAGTTGTCTGTTCTTCAAGATGCAGAGAACGCAGGGACCAGCAGTTAGCGTAATGGCTGTGTCACTGGACTCTCACGTAGTCGACTGTGGTTCGAGTCCTGGACCCAGTGGCTTTAACTCACGCTGGGCGCGTGTGCATGCGTGCCCAAGATCCCGAGAGGAGAATGGAGGAGAAGGGATTACGACGTGGCCATCCCTCCTAGGGGGTGATTTCTCGTTTTCTGTCTCTCTGTCTCTCTCTGTCTGTCTGGCGAGCGCACACGCCCTATAGCGAAAACCTCTCCAAAAAATGGAAAAAAAAAAAAATGCAGAGAACGCAGAAGCCAACGAAGGCCGCTCTTTGCTTGTTGCTGTCTGTGCTTCGGCACTTTCCTGTGCCCTCCACTAGAGTCCAAGTTATTTAAGGAGGGCTTTGCATTTGTTTTATAAAGAAACCTCGGCTGGCTCCGTGGCCTGGTGGTTACGGCAGATGCATGGTTCGAGCCTCAGACTCAGCGGCTTAAGAAACACATGTGCACGTGTGCCCGAAATCCCAAAAGGAGGGGGATGGGGAGAAGGGGTTCTGGCATGTCCATGCCCCATGGGGGCCTCTGACTAGGATAGTGAGATGGGGACAGCTCTTTTGTGACTCTTGCAGGCAGATGGGGGACCTCATGGACACCCCTACTCCCTGCAGGGACCAGCAGATCTGTTCCCAGCCAGCTCCACCTCCAGGCGCCAGGTCTCCTGAGCCACGGGCTCGGGTACCCCCGCCAGGGTCTGGGGCAGAGTGGACAGTGACGAATGCTCCAGAGGGCTCCCTGCCTGTGGTGTTTGTTTTACTTTGGGGGTCCAGGAAGTGGTTGGAGTTTTGGGAAGGAGAGTGGGGCCCCAGATGGCTGGGAGGAGGGAGAAAGAGAAAGAGCTGCAGAGGGCGGGGCTGCCACCTATTCCTCCCAGCCTCAGCCCGGTGGGTCTAAGCACCACGCTGGCACCACGCTGGCACGGGGACTGGCTCTGGGTTTCTGAGGCGCTGTCCCTGTCCCTGGACTTGGTTCCCTCTTGTGGCTTTTGTGGTCACCCTGGTCCTCTGGAGCCCTGGCAGGGGACAGCCATTCCTCCTCTTCCCATCCCTGCATGGGTGCGTCTGGGCAGGCTAGGCTGCAGGACCAGAACCCAGCCTGCAAGGGCGGGCGGGCGGCTGCTGGCCGCCTCCCAGAGGCCACCCTCGGCAGGCCGCAGCCCCGGCCCGCGGCT